TCTAATTTAAGAAAGGGAACAGATTATGCACTGAGCCATGCCACGACCTTGAGTTTAGTCAAACACTGCCTCAACAGTCCGGCAATATCTAACGGTAAATTATGTAATAAAAATTAAACCTTAACCGTGATCAAATAACACGAGTCCCGAAAAGGAATACTGGAGTAATTAAAAAGTGACCTGAACAAAGGTTAGAGCACAAGACAAGGAGAAGAAACAAATAAATGAAAGCACTGTCCAGTGGAATGCTGTGGAGGGATTTTAGGCCTCTTTTTCAGTACACATATGAACTGTCATCAAAATTCAATTATTATATGAAAATACTGATGTGAATTTCGAGCAGATATCTGAAGACAGTTCGTTAAATGTGAGAGCATTTGCGAGAGACATTCTCTAGACTCAGTATTCTGATGTGCAGTAAACGCGACATAATAGTGCTTTGTAAAGATAAAATATCTGTTCACTTAGTGTTGATTTTAGTAGTAGGCTCTAGAGTTTTATTGTGAATGCTCGCTTGACTGACTATGTTGAAGATACCACAAGTATTTGGAGTTTGATAACGCTTTAACCAGTAACACTTATATGAATCGTGCCCATCCAGTGAAATCAAAACTTAGAAGCGAGGAGGTTATATTTGACAGGCTATCAATATATCGAGAAGCGACTGATCTAAACTGATTAGCGATTATTTCATTCTGTTTTGCTATTGAAAAAACGTCGAATTGATTCTAGTGGGAGAGTAGTGTAGTGGCCTCTTTGTAACGTTTTGCTTCTTGTATTGAATGTACTACTTTCTTTCCACCTCACATGTGTTCTTCAGAAGTACTGAGCGTCATATTGCTAATTGTCACGATAGGACGACTCATTGTGAACTATCATATGGCTTCCATGTGACGTCTGATAGATTAAGCAGTCACATCATGACAAGTCAACAGTTTCGGGATAAGGTTTATTGTTATTATGAAGAGGGAAATGTACTAATATTGAACTATATCATGATTCTACAACCACATTACTAGTATATAAATTAAATTACTATTTTGTAATATCCAGTTACTGTAGCTACCTTGATGACCGTTCAACACAATCAACGTTATTACAGTAAAATACTAATAAGAAATTTTCAGCTAATAGAGTAGATCTACTGTGGCATAACCCAGCCTATTGCGTTTCATCAAGAGTTTGTCGTTGCCTGTTATTAACGTTGTTGGGGATCGGCAAAGTGTTCAGTGTTCAGCTACCTGACAGCAAGGACCATAACATTTCGTCGGCCCTACAAACGTCAACATTTGCAGCCAACAAACCCAGGGTTCTTGGTACCTGTGTGGTTGCGCCACGGGATTGAGCTGTACTGTTCAGATTGTAGCGTTAAAGCCTGTACGGTGTCTGGCTCCCCTGCTAAACGGGGTTGAGCTGTACTGTTTGGGTTTTTACGTGAAGGTCCGGATGGTGTCTGGTTCTCCTGAAAACCAATTTTAAATTACCCTGGCCCACAAGGGTATATTATATTACTGTGAACAAACCCTTTACCTGGCAATGTGATGGCTGTTTTTCACTGAAAACTTAGTGCTCGAAAACAAACATACATTCAAATGGTTCAAATGGTTGTGGACGGAATAGAAGAAGCTTTCGCTTAACAGGCTTCCGTGTCTAGTAGCAGGGGATCACCAAATCCTCCAGGCAGGAACCTAGGTATGTTAACAATAAAAGAGGAAAAGAAATTGGTAAATCATAGTATGATACTGTCTTTGGTCCTAAGTATAGGTCAAGTTGCCTCTTGAAGGACTCCTGAGAAGTCGCTTGGACTAGCTCAGCGGGCAGCGAATTCCAGCTTTTGACAACTCTTAAGGAGTAGAAGTTGTGTCTACATCCCGTCTTGCTATATTGAGTTTCCAGTTTCTGGGTGTTACCCCTTAGGTTATTATTCGAACTAAGCTTGAGTAGGTGTTTAAGAGGATGTCCAGAAGTGTTAAGAATACTATAAGCCATTAATAAATCACCCCTAAGACGCCTATACTCTAATGGGTAAAGGTCAAGTAAATGGAGGCGTTCTTCGTAAGGCTTAGATTTGAGTCCGCGAACTGATTTCGTGGCTCGCCGTTGGATACGCTCCAAAGTGATCTTGTCCTTTTGGAGTGAGGGGGGGAGTACTATATTTCCGTACTCTAAATGGGGACGGATAAAACTATTGAAGATTGTGTGGAAAGTTCTTCCGTCAAACTGACCAAAAATGCGCTTCAATGTTACTAGTGCAAGGTTAGCTCGGAAGGCATTTTTGTCACAATTAGCGTAAGACTTTAAATCATGGGGCACCAGGACTCCTAAATCTTTTTCGACTTGGGATACTACTAGAGAGGAATTTCTTAAGTTATAACTGTAGTCTGCGACATGTCGCAGATGGACTACTTTACACTTTGAAGTGTTAAACGTAAGTCCGTTATCGTCTGCCCAACTTTGAAGTCGAGTCAGATCCTCCTGAAGTGCCTGTGTATCGTCTTGGTTGCGTATCTCTCTCCAAAGTTTCACGTCATCGGCAAAAAGTAGTAAGTCTGACGTTACCTGTTGAGGAAGATCGTTTATGTAGATCAAGAAGAGGAGAGGCCCTAATACTGAGCCCTGGGGAACCCCACTAGGACATTCCATAGCCTGAGATAAAGTGAAATTAACCCTAACCTTAAAGTGTCGATTTTCTAGGTATGAAGTAAGCCAATCGATTAGAGGTGGTTTGATACCTAGTCGTTTGAGCTTGTTGATAAGACACAAGTGGTTAACTTTATCAAAAGCTTTTGAGAAGTCAAGGTATATGATATCAACCTTCCCCTTGCGATCGAGGATGCTTGTCCATCTGTCCACCGCAGTCAGCAGGTTGGTTATACAAGAGTAACCCTTCCTGAAACCATGCTGTTGGGGTGAGAAGAAGTTTAAGGACAGTAGATAATCGTTTAAACCATCGCATATCAGGGACTCCATGAGTTTTGAAGGTAATGACAGAAGAGCCACAGGCCGATAACTTGAAGGTTCATTGCGTCGACCCCCTTTGAAAATTGGTGTGATGTGAGCCAACTTCCAATTTTCCGGTAATTTGCCTTGGCTTAGCGAGTGTGAAAACATCACGCTAAGCGGCGTTGCCAGGATTGAGGCTGCCTCCTTCAGTATGGCAGAATGAACCATATCCGGGCCAGGAGAAGTATCTAGTCTTAAGTGCTGCAGTTTCCGGAACACCAAGTCAGCGCTTAGGTCCACTTCGGAAAGCCCTGTGGAATTACAGGTGAAACTGTCGTCAATAGAGTTGATGTCAGCCGGCTGAAATGTTTGAGAGTAGTGTGCCGCCAGAAGGTTAGCGGCGTCACCATCGTTGTTGGTTGGGCCATTAAGACCTAGCAGTTGAGAAACTCCTGTTTTGGCTTGACGAAGAGAGGCTGCATAACGGAATAGGCTTCTAGGGTTCGAGGTCAATTTGTCCATAAGCTTTGTCTGATAATGAAGCCTGTCTTCTCTTATAGCCTTCGTGCATATGTTACTGATATGTTTGAATTGCCTAAACGCTCCTTCGTTGTCAGTTCGTTTGTATTCCGCACAACAGTGTCTTTTACGGCTTAGCAGGCGAAGGGTACGGTTCTTGATTATTGTAGGTGGCTTGCAGCTTTTGGGAACCGTTTAAGGAACTGAATGGTTTGTAGCGCTTAAGAGAGTGTGCAGTAAGAAGTTCCAGTGACCATTCACATCGAGTTGGGGGTGAACATCCCAAACCACCTGTTGTAAATAGTCGTGTAGAGCTGGCACATTCAGCCGTTTAAAATTCCAACGCAAGTTATTGTTGGGATACCTTAGCTTAGTTTTGGTGACAAAACTGAAGGCTATGACTGCATGATCGCTCTTTCCCAGAGGAGCCAAGATTGAGAGGTTGTCAACAAGGAATTCTTCATTTGAGAATACACAGTCTAACCGCGATGATGTCTGACTGTTTCTCCAACGAGTTGCCGACCTCACATTTTCATATAAGCCCAAGTCATCAATGAGGTTGAAGAACCGAGCTTCAATTGAGTTGTCACCTCCAGTATACGTGTGTTCCACGAAGTTGACTCTAGGAAGGTTAAAGTCCCCTAGAATCAGGATATGTGTGAAACCGAGACGGGTAGAGCGGGATAGTCCATCCAGCATGCGACTATCGTACTCGATGTCAGCAGTTGGCTTCCTGTAAATGACACCGACTAGACACCTCGAAGTGCTAGACAATCTTACAGAGCACCATATGGATTCCTCAAGATTGTTAAACTCGAGATTGTGAACTTGGTGCACCTCCAAGCAAGAGCTTATGTATATGGCTACTCCACCCCCAATTCCTGTTGTTCTGTCGTTGCGGAACAAAGTCATCCCTGGTAATGCTAACTCTTGGTCCGAGAACTGAGAAGATATCCAGGTTTCAGATATTCCTATCAGGTGGGCCTTATTAGCGTTGCAAAGTTCACGTAATTCATCCAGTTTGTTTGGTAGACTCGAGGCGTTCGTGTATAAGCAGTTTATGCTTTCAATTTGGAACGCATGAGCTTCGTCCTGTTTTTCTGTATGAGCCTTGTGTGAATGGACAGGTAGCCCACCCATGTGAGACATGCAAACTCACCTATAACAATTAAATGGCTGGTGGCTTACCTTACGCCCATTAGAAATCGACAAATACCAAAGAACGTAGTGAGAAAACGAGAAGCGAGTCACTTAGATATTGAGTATTGGAAATTTGATAAGGTCGTTCCGAATGGTTTGTAGGTCGCTCTCTGATTTGAAAAGTCTTCAGCCCATTGGTTTCTACTAGTTCGGTCTCGCTATCTCCAATAACGCCTCCATTTTTAATTGCTTATCGAACTTTCAAATTTCATAATTCCTATCTATTCCAAGTCTCCTACTCAGTTTTGTGGATATAGGACAACAGTATATTTCTCTTTTAGAAGGCGTACAAACAAAGCACTATCTACATTCAAACATTCAAGTGAAAACTTATAGCGATGTCTTTTTCTACCATTAAGAAACACATAGCACGATGTAATCAGGTAAAAAATTGGCTTATCCCTGAAGTCTGCTTGACAGTTTTTATCCGAAAAATTGGGAGCTACCAAGGGCATGGACAAGGGTCCTGATTACAAACAACTTACTCAGGTTGGTTCAAAATACTTTCGTACCATTTTGACTAGGCGTTTGGTAAACTGTCAGGGAAAACGAATATATGAACCATTATTACCCTTGCAAACTTTGTACTGAAATTGGAATGTGATTGTACGATGATAGTCATTTATCGCCATCAAAATGTATGAAAAATGGTTAAAGACTAGAACTTTCATTTATAACGTATAAAACGAAAAACTAGACTCACTGTTTACTACGATACATTACATAAAATGAGCCACAGGCAGCTTAACCCTGACTTGTTATTGAGTTCTCATCAGCCACTTACAACCTCTAGTTTTTAGAATTCATAATTATAAAATGATTTGAAGATACAATTATGTTTAGTTGGAGGTTGTGTTAAGCAAAAAGGGGATTACCTTAGATTTTTTGAATATCTTCCCAAAAGCGTTCGATTAAGAGAAATGCTTTAAATGGCACTGTCTGTAAACATTCTTGGCCACAAGACACTAGGTTGTTACTTTTAAATACTTCGAGATGATTGATGGGAAGCCAAGCTTCTGTTTTCAAAAGCCTGTTAGGGCTATTACTGTCCTGTGTATGAACATTTCCAACCCGTTTTCTAATCATGATTTTTAAATATTACAGAATGTAAGCAGCTGATGAGAACCTAACGAAATAGAATAAGTTCATGTTTGTCCACCTAAATATTTGTTTTTGTTTCCTCTAAAATTTCAAAGGGAACTCTGTGTATAAAATACTACCAAGTTATTTTTTCTCTCCACACGGTTCATTTCAAGTCATCAGTCTCAGTCTGATGACATGTGTAGGTGTAGATACTCTAGTAAGCGAATCCGTTCTAAGACTTATTGGTGGACGAAGCCAAATACTGAGTCTAGGTAAGGAAATGTGACTCCAGTCAGTCATCGCTGCATATACCTGCAGTAAAAATTGTGTCGTTTTCTTTCGCTCACAAGAACTCCCCGTCATTCAATATCACCAATATTTAGCCTATTTCGGTTCAAAATTTTCAGGAAACGTTGAAGTACAGAAAGCCATCTCAAGGCAACAATTCAGAAACTAAAAGTGTTTGAAGTTTAGCGGTTCAGATTCTCTACTTACGACTACTTCGTTATGTTTTCTAAACTCATTCATTTTGCTGTGGTTAAAAGGGTTAGTTAATCTCAATGCAGTAGATTTGACACCTAACTCAATAAAACAGCCTGTAAGTAGTTAGTGAGTCAGGATGTTCATGATTTTTTGTGAGAATACATAAACGTATGCTCTAGACTTTCACAACTGGAAATTCTCGTATACTCTGGATAATATTTAAGAGAAAATATGAATCGAAGTCTGATTTAAATACACGAGCAGTTCATCTGGTTGCGATATGTTTTTTGTAACTTCTTTAATGGTACACTTTCCCAAGAATAGTTGAGTAGATTTAATTTATTTCCCATTTTAAAGGTTTTGGTGTCAGTTAACTTATTAATAGTGAATTTGGCTTCTGTTTAATCAAGTTTGGTTAGTAGGAATCATAATTTATTTTGATCGCTCAGTAATATTTCATGACATACTTTTTATGTTTTAAATCAAACAGGTTTATGTAAGCTAATTTCAGCATTAACTTGCACTATTTGTAGCAAAAACGAATGGCAGCTGTGTTTAGTTTTGATCATGTTTTTAGTTTGGCTTTTACGGCACAATTTTTCTTAGACATAGCATCTTAACCAAACTTTGGGTTGACTGGGTTCGACGGTATCGAATATTCAAATACGATAGATGTATCACGTCACATCTGATCAGATTACCATTCCTGTATTCAAATTAGAATCCATAGATAACAGATAAATCTTTGCAGAAGCATAGTTACTAAACTTTACTTGAACATCAATTGTGCTGTATGTGTGTATGTACTATCTCATCATTACAATTAAATTGGATTAGCACTTTACAAGTGTCCCATATCGAGTTGTTGCTGTCGGTTATTCAAAATAGAATTCATACATAAACAACTGCAGTTTCTGTTACTAAAACCTTGTAAACCATTTTATTTTTGCTTCCAGTTCTCGCTTAAACAAAATGTGGATGACTTTCATCACCAATATACCATTTTTTAAATTCCTAGCTTTCGTTATTTACTTATTATATATAATCGGGTCGTGACTGAACGTGGAGGTTGTACTTTACTTGCCGTATTAGGCGTTAGCTTTCCATATCACTGGCTTACTATTCCTTGTAGAATCGAATCAATAAACATACTTTTGATCTTATATAAGCGTTTCGTCTCATGCTTCATTCCCTTTTTTAATCTTAAAAAGCTTATAGACTCATACAAAGCCTTTTATGAAGATGTACAAAAGCGGGTTATTGACTGTTTAGAACCTAACCCTAATGCGCGAAAACGAGCATGGGCTAGTGCTGCCGTAAATAAAATTCAGGGAAACACAAACAATGAGAATTATCCTCATGCAGAGGGGTTTCTTTCTGACTGCTTTTTGGAGTATGGAAAACAATTAAGTCAGCAACCCGGTTTGAGTAAGTTTTTATATTTTGCAAATGTTGTTTTTGCTAATATTTACGTCGTCTCTCAATTACTGTGTCAGCGTATCGTATTTTACGCGACTTTAATACTTGGTGTCATTCTCTTGGTAATATGCAAATCTGGATAGCTAAGTGCAAGTGCTCTCAACTGGAAATAGATATTCAGTTTACACCTAGTAATTTGTGAGCAACAGTTTGCGTTGACAAGTATTTATACTTATGCAACGGTTTTGTAGCTTGATCACTTAAAACTTTGCGTAGACTACTTTAGCTATACTTTCTGTGACATAAAATAGCTTTCACACGTTGTGTGTCCAGTAACCCGATTCCAAAACCTCTGACTCAGTAGAAAAGTGAATTGAATTATTGGGTATCTTAGGTCACTATTATGAATCTCATCCCATTTACCTCATAACACAATCGACTAAGTTGACTATCACTTGCGACCTGGTAATTTGATTGACTTGCAACCAGTCGGTTACAAGCTCAGGCTAAAACTATCTGAATAAGTTTAAATAGGTATGAAGTATTGTTTGTTGTTGTTTAATAAGTAGGGTTCATGGCACAACAGTAATATAGATAAAATTACCATATCGTATTGGTTTTATTCTAAACTGTGTGTCCTATATTTTTCCGAATGGCTTTATACAAATACGTTTCCAGAATATGCTTCTCATTGGTTACTTCTAGAAAGTATAATACTACCTCACATTAATTTCTATGTGTTTTGCCGTTTCTTTTTAATAATACCATCAAGGTTTGGCACTTATACAATGTGGAGAAGCATACAATAAAATTGTTGAATCAAAAAATCAATCGGTAGATGAAACAAAATCTGGCTATTTAAAACCGATTTCTGAGAAGTTACACCGAGATATCAGGAAGATATCAGTAGGTTTTTAACGCATATTTATATTTATTTTTGCAATTGAGTAAATGATATATGCGCGCTTGTAACCGTTCAGATTTATGTATTTACAACACTTCTTGTTTTCGGTACTCATACATCGAAGCTGTTCACTATCTCCATTTTTGTCCAACTTCATAATAGACATACTGACGGTAACAACGTTCTCGTCTACTAAATTTCGACTTAAAATACACAGATGACATAGTCCTGTTTGCTGATAAAATGCAGAGTGTTTTGGTAGCACTGAGCAATAATGCCAGAATGTTTGGGATGCGTTTCTCCCCCTCTAAGTGCAAGTTGTTGCTTCAGGACTGACCTGCGTCAACACCTGAACTAAGGATAGGTAGTGAAGTAGTCGAACGCTTCGAAAACTTCACCTGTCTCAAAAGTCTGATCAGCCCTGATAGGTTGGTATCTGATGAAATCTCTGCACGGATTCAAGAAGCTCGTTTGGCTTTTGCCGACTTACGTCACAACCTATGACGAAGGCGAGATATCCGTCTATTAATCGAGGGACGAGTATACTGCCTGGCAGTTCGTTGTGTTCTACTTTACTCCTGTTCAGTGGTATAGGAGTAGGTTGGAAGAAAGCTAGGGGCGGCCAGACCAAAACATGGCACAAGTCCATGAAGTCACTGGCAAGTGGTCTGAGTCATGTTGATAGGTGTAGACTACCTGGTTGGGGACCGCGAGATGATAGCAACCGATGGTTAGAGACCCTGAATGACATGGCTCAAAATCGTTTGCAATGGCGCAGGTGCATCCACTCTTTATGTTCTCCCAAATTCTAATCTTCTGAATTCTTCATGTCCCTTTTTTTCCTCTTTCCAAATTTAACTGAATTATACTCTTTAAATAACATCTCCAAACCCTAATCTTCCCGATCACTGCTTACACTCTTGCTACCTCTACCACAATGGGATTTGAATCGACAACTGCATCTCTGTGTTAAGGTGGTGTGGCAACTCGAACTGATGTACGTACGTACGAAGTTCTACGTTGTTACTGACTGACTGACTTATGTCTGCGAAACGTGACTATGAATAGTAGAAGATACTCGTAAGCTACTAGTATTTGATCGCAGATGTCTCGGAAATATTGCTCGCATCTGATGGGATCACCGGGTAAGCAATAATGAGGTTAGATGCAGGGTATTAGGGGATGATGGTAAATCAGTCGATGAGGTTGTGAATCTTCATCGATTGAGATGGTTGGGCCACGTGTTACTTATGCCTGGACACCGTTTACCACGACGCGCAATGCTGACTAGTTTTGGAGACGGCTGGAAGAAAGTTAGGGGTGGCCAAACCAAAAGGTGGCATCAGTCATTGAAGTAACTTACTTCTGGTCTGAGTAATGTTGGCAGATGCAGACTACTTGGTTGGGGTCTGCGTGACTATCATAACCAATGGTTGGAGACTGTGAGTGACATGGCTCATAATCGATCACAGTGGCGTCTGTGTATATACTCTCTGTCTTCCCTTGAACCACGAGATTAAAATTACTGTATACCTTTTTTCTACGAACCGGTTCTTTGTTCCTGTATTATATCCTTATACACAATCTTTGTTTTATATATTACTATCATTGAAGTAACTACTTCTATGAATTTGGTGTTGACGTTGTGTTAATGAGGTGTGGCGACTTGAACCTATGCATATATGTACATGATCCTACGTTGTAGCTAACTGACTGACCTTATAGTAGTTATTTGTTTTACTAAAAATTGTAAATACTTTTCTAATTTATCTTTTTTTCTCTTGTGTTACATTATCTATTTGGATCATCATGAGGAAGTTTCAAAATGTTAATGATTATATGCTCAAAGTTAAGAGTCACTATATTGAAAACAATTTATTGTGTGTTCCATTGCTGTTGTGAATTATAACTTTGATTATTTTTTATAGGTACTTCGAAGAAAAGTTGAAAATAAACGATTAACGTTTGCTCATAGAAAAAATGTCCTAGAAAAAAGTAAGTGATATGAAGAATCATACATAATTATACGTTTTTCATTCCTTTCAAATGATTAATTACATATCTTTTTCCAATTTTTATTCATGGCATTTTTTTCGCACATCCGTTTGGATTGTTTCAAGACCTCACTGTGTAGATAAATGATACGACGAATTAAGAAAATTATATTTCTTATTCATAACACGTAACCGGTTAACAAAAAACAAAAAGGGTGTGGCTCCCTAAGAAAACTACCTGTTTCGGTTTGGGCACCCGGGCAGTATCACAGCCCTCACACATATCGAATGAGATTTGTGTGGTGCATATGTATTTGGCGCCTCTTTGTACCAATATCTATGTGTTGAAATAAATAACCGATTATAGTAATCTGATTAGCAGATACATTCTGCAAACAGGTTCATAAATAATTTTCTGAATGATAGCATAAAAGTTGCTAACCAGTTAGTTGTCAGTGTCAATTGTCAATCCTATAAATTCACATTATATTTTAGCCAATTTCTATTGCTCTGCTTAATTGGTTTTTAGTTTTCTTATTATTTATCCTCCGTCGGGATTTAGTCAGTATGTATTAGATTGTATCTTACCATTTTTCATTTTTTCGTTCGCGTAATTTTTTTACTGCAGTTGTTCACTTTTTAACTTTCCTTCGTGTTATTTTTTATATAAAGAGTGAAAAGTAGGATCAATACACATTTCCGCCGGGTTTTTTTGTTTAAACTTATCGGTTTATCCATACTAATAAGGAAATATGGAATCCGTACATTTGAACCAGATGTTTTGTAAGTTTCTAAGAGTTGTTACTACTAAGCTGTGACTATTCTTACAACTTCTGATTTATTACTTAAATATCACAGTCATCATATTACATTATTAATCGCCACACCTACCGATAGATCCTAAACGGATAGTTCTGAAGCATATGTCGAAAAATGTATGAATGCTTATATATTTAACTTTGCATCATCATCGGCTGGAGCGTAGAATAAACCTTTTGTTTTCTTTTCTTAATGGTCCAAGGTTCGGTCAATTCACTAAGGGTCATAGTACAAGCTGGTTGGTATATATCTGTTGTTCTGACTCATCGTGTCAGCCCTCACGTTCACCGTTGTGTTGACATTTCGATTCACGTAACCAGTATCTTTCATAATAAAGTCAAACAGACGGTATAAATGGGTGAATCGATAATGATCTCATCCACAAATATTTTGGTATTCATTTCATTATTTTGCAGGAGATGCTAGAAATGTAGGCTTCACATTGTTTACACATGGCTCAAAAGTCTTAAGAGTAAGCATCAAATAAAGGTATTTTTATCATCTTTAGACTGAACTTCATACACCTTCAATTTTCTTATTTTTTTAATTTCCGGTACTTATGATTACTATTGTTTTATTTTCTTGATGACTTAATTAGGATACCAGAATAATGGACATATTGAATCTAGTTCTTTATGAGTCCTTCCATTTATTGATCTCACTAAAATCACTTGAACAACATGATGAGTGAACTAGTAGTTTTAAATTTGCTAATTACAATTTTAATTTGCTTAATGTTTCAGACTGAGTTGATCTTGAACATCGGCTTTCAAAATGATTGACGTTTCCATGTCGTACCTGAAAAATTAATCGGTTTTATTTCATAGGTTCACTGCCTTGGTCATCGTATCACTTGATTTTGTAATGTTTCTTGAAATAAACTCACTATAAAAAGTCATTATCACTGTACTATTTAGTGTCAATTTAATTCATTGTTTAAGCATAATTTATTATTACTGGTAATGCAGTTATTTTGGGTAAATTTAATCATTAACATAGTTACAAGACAGGTATACATGTTGATCTTTCTTAAATTATGTATCTGTAAAAATATCGCTCTGAAATTTTGTAATTATAAGATATTTATGTATCTAAAACCTAATTTAGATGCGTTCACAAGTGAGTGTTTTATTATTTATCACGGTGATTTAAAGTCATTACGCTCATTTATTTTCTATTCGCTGGTGTGTAAATTCATATATCTCTGATTTTAATACATTTATTTGGTTATTCTTCCTAACTATTCATTTCATTTCACACATTAATAAGACTTATCGTATTCATTAGGCTGGCTTAGTTGTTTAACAAATTATAAATGTAGTTTAGAAACGCTTGCTCAAGTTGTCATTGGTTTTTCGAGCATTTGGTTAATTTCATAATATCTTTCATTGTAAGCTAACATTATTTTACAAGTATTGCTTCAGAACTGATTTGCATCACTCTTAGAAATAAAGTAGTCGGGCTCCATTTATCTTCAAAGTCTCATCAGTTCTCGTGGGTTAGTAGTAGTTGAGGACGTTTAGACACATAATCGAAAGATTCCGTCGGGTTTCATGAGCTTGCACCATTTGTGGTGCATGCAATACGTTTATCTACTTATCAAAAAGCGAATACTCAGGGTTCTATTTTACTTTGTGACGGTGAAACGTGATTTTTAAAGGGAGAGAAACTGTGTAGGTCATCATCAGCATGTGATCGTATATGTGTCCAAAGCGTTGCTTGTGTGTGATGGACCAATCAAGTGAGTGATATCGGGGTTAAAGTGAGACACTAGGTAAAAGTCCCAAATTGATTGTTAATGCTGTTAATCTCCATCGACCAAAGTGGTCACGTATGTGTATGCGCTACCACCTTTTACACTGAATGGTGAGTGGTCTAGAATCTTGGGATGGTCTAACCAGTAATAACATGAGTTCATGAGGTTACTGAACCTTGATTTAAGCCGTAGTTTGAAGACACATCTAATGATCCAGGCCCACTCCATAATTGTGATCTATTGTCCGAGACTTTATGTTACAGCTGGAAATTCGAAACGGATTATCTTTTCCTTGATTGTTAATTCTAGTGTTATTTCATAATTCTATTCTGCGGATTCATTTCGTTTATGTTTATTCTTACTACCATTACTTCGGCTCCTTAGGTGTACATCTTGTTAGTTCATGATCACTGTATGATATTGCAGATTAGACGGATACAATTTTTTTTAAAAGATGATCTTTAATTATAATAATAATTTGAATCATTTGATTGTTAGTCGAAGCAAGAAAAGTAGTTTCCATAAATATCTGGGTAGCTGGATAAGTGCTGGTGGGGGTGTGAGTGATGAGATCAATGCATGTATAGTGAAAGCCAGAGCGGCTTATGCCAATCTGGACCATCTTTGGCACCTTCGTGATGTTAGTCTGGCTGTAAAAGGTCGGATCTACAACGCATCGGTGAGAGCAGTTTTGCTCTATGCTTGTGAAACCTGGCCTCTCCGAGTTGAGGACAATAGACGACCCTCTGTATTCGATAATCGTTGTCTCCGAAGGATTGCCGACATTCAGTGGCAACACCATGTTAGTAATGCAGAGGTTCGGCATCGTGTGTTCTGGCACAGAGATGATAATTCAATTGGTGTCACCATCTTGAAACACTGACTTCGGTGGCTTGGAAATGTTCTACGAATGTCGTCCCAGAGAATTCCACGTCGTGCACTATTTGCCGACTCTGGGACTGATTGGAAGCATCGGAGAGGTGGTCAGTATATGACATGGTGTCGCGGTATGAAAGAAAGCTGTAAAGGACTGGCTTCTGTCGGTCCTTCACGACTCCCTGGTTGGGGTCTGAGAGATGGTGCTACACAGTGGCTAGAGATGTTATCAGATATGGCTCAGAATAGAAGCCAGTGGCGATCCTGCTGTAACCTTCTTTTACTTTCTTCATAAAAAGTGGTTGTGTCTCCCTTACTTGAAAGATTTCTTCTGATTGTACCTTTCTGTTCCATCGTTACGACCACACTACCTTACACCAATCTCTTCGTCATCGTCCTTTTTTTTTACGCTCCTTGCCTTTTTTATTTTTCCTTCTCTTTAAATTCTCATTGTTTTGTGTGGCGCATATTTATTTGGTGCCCTCTTGTATCAATGTTTATGTGTTCAAATAAATAAATATAAATTATTGTGAATGATTGCTCTCGTTTGTACTCGATCAGCCAAAACCGAGCTGTTAACATTTTTAACCAAACATTTGCTTAGCCACACTGGGAGGTGCTCATGAACCCGAAAATACTAATTCCTAGAACACCTGCCATTATAACTTGCTCCAAATAAGCAGTTGAAATAATATATACAGAAAGTGGTGGCTAGTCTATGTAATTTATCTTTCAATTTCAAAGTGACCATCGGGTGTGCAGAAAACAATAATTGTGTGTCTGTTTAATGCATATCTAGTGGTTTACATTGGACAGTTCTCTATCCATATTTGAATTACCATGAGAAAGGATATTTAAATGCGGGGTTTATATGTTTCGAATCTGTGTAGTCCAAATCCTCCAGTTGATTCCAAGTTATCGATTGTATTCCGCGCTTCCCATTAGATGTGGAGATCTTCGTAATCCAGTCAACCACCAGAAAAAAGAGAAAGTCGAGAGAGGGAGTGAGAAAAATCAACCTTGTTTGACTCTGGTCTTCAATTGGAATTTCTCTATCAGCTGTCCTCAATACACGGAATTGAAGTGTAATCCGTCGTATGAGTTCCGTATGATATTGACGATTTTTTCAGCAACTCACTTCATAGTGTCGACGAAAGTTTATTAAACTCCTCATATCTACACTGTCGAATGCTTTCTCGTAGTCAATAAAGTTGATACATAGTGACGACTTCCATTTGATTGATTGTTCAACGTTGAACCGTAATTTCACAGTTTGGTCTGTGCACTATCGGTTCTTACTGAATACGGTCTGTTGAACTTGAATTTAAGCGTCTACTGAGTCCTTCCTCCGGTTGAGCAATACTGTTGAAAAATTTTCATGTTGCTAATAGTAGTGTTATGCCTCTATAGTTGTCACATTTGCTCATATCTTCATTCCTTGGTATGTTGATGAGTTGTCCTTCTTTCCAGTCTATCTGTGGCACTTGTCCTTCCTCTCAAATCTTCCTGAATACTACGTGGAGTATGTTTTCAGCTGCTTCTGTGTGTGACTTCGGTGCTTCGATTGGTATGATATCAGGTCCTACTGCTCTCCCGTTGTTGATTTGTCTGATGCTCACAATTGATGTGTTTGATTGTTGGTAGAGTGACATGTATATGGAGGTCTGTGTGTGGTGCTTTGTTTTGAAGGATGTTTTGATGATCCTGAGTTGATGAGATACTCATCCTATGAGTGTTTTACGTGTTTCTTCGTGACTGGAGTACAGCAGCATCTCTCCCGAATCTAAATTTTTCTGTGCAGCTTGAATCCAATGCGTTTCGCTGATTTAGAGAACCGCCAAGTTTTATCCTAATTTCGTAACAAGTTGGTCTCCCACACTGTCTGGATATTTCATGCACCTATATCAATTGTTGCCTTGGTTTTTAGAAGGGGCATCAACCTCTTGACTTCCTAAGAATCTTGGCTTTCACCATGAGGTATCACAACTTTCTGAATGAAGATCTTTCAACTCGGAGGACAGTCTCAATAGTTTAGTTTGTTCTGGTTAGTTTACTTTTAACAAGGTTGTTCTCTGCTGGATGAGGTTGCTGACCCCGTACCCAACCCTTTTTCTTTATCCTTGCTTGGGACCGACAGGCGGAGTTACTAACTTTTATACTTCGTATTAATTGTTTAAGTGTAAATTCATCGAAATTTTTTTAAATCACTTGTTTATGCCAATATATTTCTTATGATTGCATCATTACAATGTATTGTACTATTGTTTCCTCTTTTTTTTCATAATCCACATTTGGACTCGAACTATAATTTGTAAAATAACAATAGCCAATGCTCACCCGGATCAAGCATTTGAGGAGTGTAGAATTCAGTATGAAGACTCATTGGCAGCTAGTACAGCAGCTATGTCGAACTTTTTGGATACTGAAGTGATTACTTTATATTATTTTGCATTGTTTATTTTTGTATATATATGTGCGTGTATATACGTGTGTATCTATCCTTTGTGTATATGTTCATCTTTTCAATGATAGATAGTCTTGTTACCATAGAACAGAGTTAAAAAATAACTGACAATAAAAATTGACACGATCAGAATAATTAAGCAGTTGATCGATACATGTGTATATCTTAGATAGCAATCAATATCTAATATTTTTTGCGCTGATCGATCATGTTCGGAGTGTAGCAGCTAGCGTATTGGTTTCAACTTTGTGATAGAATTTATTAATATTGAACACTTTAGAGAGGTTGTAGTGAACAGAACACGGGTGTGGACAATCGAATGTATTTCATACAAAATTACAGGACTTGTTAATAAAATCTAACAATCAAATGGTAAATACGTAATTTGCAAAATGTCCATCAATTGTCTCATAGTGACTCAGACTTCATTGTTCTTGCATTTTCATACAAATTGCGTTCTGTTCCATTCTTTACTGTTCGATCCACTTGTCTCTCTGCTGCCAGACATTCTGTTTCTGACTTAACATCATATACTACTTATGTCGATATAAGTAGCACACACAACAAGATTAGTAAGAATCCGTGTTACTGGTTTCTACCTCCATCATCGAGCTTGGCGAATTCGGGATATACATGTACTTTTGTCGTTTGTGCTAATAATAGTTTGCTTTGGATCCCACCTCAAGGTTTGCTGAAGTATCCTTCGTACATCACCTTATTAAACTTCAGTCAATTAAAGCTGATAGCATTGTCGTAAAGCTATTAAAATTTGATTACAGATTGATTGGCTTATGTGGAATTTGGCTGTATTTTTTGCAAAATAAATTAATATATTCAAAAACAATATATATCAAGCAACGGGCAAGTGTTTGTCTGATAAAATGGTAGTTATTCTTTAAAAAGTATTTCAGTGTTTTTTTAATCAGTCAGTCAGCTACAACGTAGGACCAGGCACATGTATGCATCGGTCCAAGTTTCCATACCTCATTAGCACAACAAGATGAACACTGGATTCATAGAAGTAGTTAATTCAATGGTGGTAATGTATCAAAGAAAGATTACATATAAGGACATAGTACAGGAAGAAAAAATTAGTTCGTAGAAACAAATATAAGAAGCGATTTTAATCTCATGGTTTTTTTAATCAGTTGCAACATGGAACCTGGTATGTATGTAGATCGTCAGACGCCAGGCCATCAGGACTGATGAAGCTCCTAAGATAAGTGGGGCGGTTGATATGTCCAACTGTTTCACTCCCTATCATTAATTCAGGTGATTACACAAGCCAATCCTGAATTAACATTTTACATTTGGATGAAGAAAACCGCATCCCAAATATGGTTGCGTTGTTGCTTAAGGTGGTCAGAAGACAGCATTTTGTTAGCGTCTTTGCCAAACAGAATTATACTATCTGAGTATTCTAAGTCAACAAGTAAATCTACTGGTAGAAGGAGGAATTCTGAAATCGTTATTTCTAGAAGCAAATTAAATAATTAAGAGAGCGGACAACCGTAGTGAACACCACTGAAAGTAACCAGTCCCAATGACAGTTCAGTATAAGCTCTGACCCGAAAGATAGTGTTGGAGTAAAAAGCCTGCACGAGGTTACTGTACTTTTTTGGGACACCTTTCAATGACCTACATTGCCCCAGAACTTTACGATCAACGGAGTCGGATGCTTCATTACGTTCAAGAAATACAACAGTTGGAAGTCGAAAATTGTATCTCTGTTCCAGAAACCCACTAATTTTTCCTAACCTTTTGGTTTAAATCACTAGTAGATAACACTGCTGTTTCCATAGCTTTCTAGATGTAATGTAAAGCCACCTCGGGGTGGATATCATATTCACGGTTAACTAGCTCTATCTCTCGTTCCCGGAATATATTCTTAGCGTTTTCATCATTAAGTTGGACTCTAAGGGGTTTTCTTTCCGTGGCTCTTTTACGTCCAGTGAGACTCAAGAAAATATGTGCTCGAAATAGATCATGTTGTGAACCTATGTTTAGAGAAAAGAGAAACATCGTCTAACGTGACGAACCCCACAATCGACCGAAATAAACCACATTGCCATCGACCATCGTTAGAGAGACTCGTCAGAACTGTCACTCATTGTAGAACCTATGTTTAGGCTCACATCGTGCTCTAGTTCGAGCACATATTTTCATGAGTTTCACTGGACTGAAATGATGGTAAATCAGTTGATGAGACTGTAAATCATCATCCGAGCTGCGAATCGATGGAAGCGTAGGCAGTGACAACGAAAAGGCATCGGCATGTGTATATTTTCCCGATTTCTTACCATTTTGTTTCGTATGACAGCGCACAAACGACTGCCTATTAGGACCCAATCTAACAGAACTTGTCCTGCTTTTGTATTTAATTTAAAACCTATACCAGCGAAGCCATGAGGAGTAGCAGCTGGGATCCAGGATACTCGAAGGGTAAATCGTGTCGGTTCCTTATACTGAGAAGGCGAGGTCAAACGGATGACTATACGTGAATCCTGTAAATGCGTTTCGAAGACGCAACATACATGGATGGAGCGAGATTCTGGAGTCATAGTTAAAGAAGCCTGTTTCCCTATTAAAAGCTACAACATGTAGTTTAGAGAGTGGTTTCAGGAGACTCGGAATAACATTTGGTGAACTCAAATCACTGGTGTTGGTGGTGTGTGGTGATAAAGATATACGAGAGGGGTTAGTGGTGCGGATAGAGAAATTATCAAGAGGTGAGGGAGGAATTCGATCGTCAGCAAGATGATCTCGGGTGCTGATAGAGGTATGAGCGGGGTTTTTACTTTCCAGTTTACCACACCGTGGAAGGATATTTCTTCTTGAGGGACCTGAAAAAAGCTGCATTAATGGTGGTTTTAGCGACCAAGGGGTATGAACATAGAGCCCAAGGGACATTTACTTGAGGCCGATCATGTGCGCCCTTTTTATGAGAAGTTCAAGATGTGTTACCTTCGCACTTTGAAAGACCTTAACGTCAGAGATGGAAATCTGTGGGGTAAGGTAAGGTGTAATATTTTTACGGTTGACCCCTTCCTTCCGTTCTGAGGAGGCAGGACCACTGCAGATGCTGGTTGTCCGAGGGGAATACCTTACTGCTATCCCACCGCTCTACAGTCAGCAGTATGACTTCTCCAACCGACCTGCTTGGCATGAAAGGAGTTAAAGAGACAAGTATTTCAGCGAATGTAGCCCGGTTGAGTCATCGCGATAGACAAACCTGGTCATCAAGTTAGGGTGGAAGCTACGATCGGGTCAATGACTCTTTAAATAACGATTAGCCCATATTAATAATTCGAATTGTAATTTTGAAATACTATCTTTGCCGTTAAATTGGTTTACTTAAGCCATTCGTTTGGGGAGGCTTATACATTTGGCTTAGTGATGTATTAGACCTAGAAAAAAAATACAACATTGCAACTTAGCAACTGTTCTATCAAAAATATTTTCATTGCTGTAGCATAATGACTACATTGTATTTATCTATTATCGATTCTCTGATAGATTAACCTGAATTGTCATTTTTTAAAATTATTTAACTGTTAGTTATAAAACGTGATTAGCAGCCATATGTTTAGTGATGTGATCACATGTTCATTCATAAATTGTAGTTGTTTTATGGATGAAATAGTTTTTACCCTAAGGTTCCTTTGTGTCATACAATTAATGAATACTTATTTATTCATGAAGATATAAGTATTTAGATGTTTTGTTGAGTGGTATAAAAAGTAAAACACCTTGGAAGGATACTTCTTGAGAGACCTGAAATGAAACTGGATTAGTAGTGATCTTGACTACCTAGAAGCGTGACCTCAGAGCCCAAGGGACAACTGCTTAGGATCGATCAAACGCGGTCGTTCTCCTAGTCGTTAGCTGTGCACTTTAAATGCTTTGCCGTTGGCGACAGGAATCTATGACTTAAGATGAGGTGTGGTATTTTTAGAGCTGAATGTTTCTACCTCTCTTTCTTGGTTGGAAGAAGGCAATGTCACTGAGGATGTCAGTTATCTAAAGGAAACATCGTAATAATTTCACACCTTAGTGCCGTCAGTAGAACATCTTCGCTTTTGGACTTTCTACTTTTAGTCTTACCGTTCTTCAACCAACCTGATTAGCATGGTAGAGCCAAAGAGGTATGGTAACTTGGACCAATTCATATGTGTGTCTGGCTCTACGTTGTAGCTGACTGACTAAGAGTTTAAAAAAACAGGTTTTTCAGCCAGTATAGCTTGAATGAGTCATCAATATAGGAAACTTTGATCACCACAATAAGATAGCAGCTACGATTGAAATTATCAGTAACCATTATTTATGAATTGTAATTTCATAACCTAGTATATAAATTTGTTTGTGATTACTTGATGAAGGTATCAAATATCACTAAACTTAGGTTTTTTTTTAATATAGAGCAAATTTACATCGATCTGTTCAACAAGTTTGTCCAATGATAGACTTTTATCCGTTGTATTTAACTAAGTTTTCACTTACTCTTATTTTTACTATCTATTTAACATACTCACATTTTGTTTATGCACAAATTCGTTACAAACATCAAGGTTGAACAAATCAAAACTTTGTCTAATTTCGTTAATGCTCAATTAAGCTTCTATCAGGATGCTGCTCGAATTTTATCCGATCTACATGGAGAACTTGAAATGAGGTTAGTTTATTTTAGTATACTACTGAATGTTTTGGTGGCCCGAGATCCATTTTTGATCGTACTACGAATGAGTCATGAACATAAATCTTCCAATTAATTCCGTACATTCTACTTAGGCTACTCTGTTTGAGTGATGGCGGTAATTAAAAGCCATGGATGAATTTCTTTCATGCGCTTGTTTACTCAAACAGACTTCAAGATGAAAAGCGAAGCGGAGAAAAAGGTAAGCGTGTCAACCTCAAATGACAGAGCGTGACTCACTATTTATACCCAAACAGAAAAATAAGTTAAATACATGTAAATAATAGACTATATGATAGGCATACATATAAGCTCAAATAAACACAGTCAAGGTTAAAAGCGATTAGCTGATATTTTCAATGTATGTACGGCTAATGAACTAAGAAGAATAAATCAATTGTTCTGTTCAAAGTCCAGAGTAACCCATTTAGGTGTGGCAGCGTTAGATGCATTAATTAGTGACCAATGTCATGTTTAGCTGAGTCCTTTTGTTATCATATATCATGCCACCTTGATATGATAGTTCTGCGGTGTTTATTTATACACTTGTGTTGTAACATATTAAAATGAAGTCCCTCACAATTTCAGCATTAATAACAACCATGTATGTCTGTCAAGTGTATCGGTCGCAACATATTTACGTGACTGAAAATAAACTAAGCATCTTTCATTTAAATAACTACAGGTTTACTATAGCTTCTCAAGTGAAAGGAAATGAAAAAAATCACATTATAATACGTATAAAATGTGTTGTAACATTTGTATTTACAAATAATTCAACACAAATTATCGTGTCGATTGATTGTCTACCATGTTGGCGTTTGAGGATTCTAACTCATATATTAATATCATACTGAAGCATCGGTTTTTACCAAATTCAACGTTTTATGTGTTACATTCCAACAACATCTATAACTTGTAGTTTGTTGATACTAGAAGAGTGCGATAACAGTCGAAAGCGGGAAGAATATTCAACGTTGATGTTTCAATCAAAATCACAATGTTTTTAATCATGCATTCATAGCAAGATGTATTTTGAATGGGATGAAGCATATTTTGACCGTGTTTTTATTTAGACAATGTTCTTTACTATCATATTCTTGCGTTATTTTTCTTAGTTCATTTCTCCGTAAAGCCGGAAATTAACGATATGTGGTGTATTTCATGGTGTGTCTAAATACATAAGTCCTAGGTCTTGACACTTTTAACACCACCTGTTAGAAGTACCATTCAACCACGTAGTTATAATTACTTGAGGTTTGACTGTAATCTTAGACTATTTAATCCTGAACATTATAGTAAATACCCTTGTCATCCATCTAATTTAGATTAGTTATCAAGGTCCAAACAGACTCACTTGTTTTAGATCAATAACTAGTAACATTCTAAATTGATATTATATCTTCAGTGTTCTTGAAGCCTACCCCTGATCTATTGTTTCTACACATAATTGCTTGTTTGATGTGTGTAAACCATTATAGCAACGATAGTCGTTCATGATCACAAAATCACCAGTTTGTTTATCACTATTGTAAATTATTACATGCTTAAAATATCTCAATAAATATGTATCATCAAATTCTGATTACGTTAATAGGAAATATATTTTAGTTAGAAATATAGTGACGAAAGAACTTGTTCAATTAAGGGAATTCCTCTCACTTTTATAAAGAGCAATAATGCACGACGTGGAAACCCCTAGAATAACCAAACTACCGAAGCGAATATTTCAAGATCGTAACACTAATTGCTCCCTGATGTGAACACGTTTTGAAATGTCAACGTTTCTAAAATGGCGTTGTCACCTTCGGAGACAATCAGGACCGAACTCAGAGAGTCCCCTGACATCCTTACCACGCAGGAGCATATAACCGAGTCTCTCTAACCGACGGGTTTTAGACATAACCTCTTACAGACAGGTGTATCAGATGGTTCATATTGGTGTAAGCTGTTCTGGCGTTCACCTTATCTACATAAATCTTCCCACCACACCCAACACCAGTACTTACACAACTATTCAGATACATGAACTTTTCATCTATCTACAATGCGTCACTGCATATATATATTGATTATTTGTGCTCATTAGTATTGTATACATCCTGATTATCATACTTTCTTTGTTTTTCAGATTGTTGGATGCGTAAGTTTGTGTACTGCATTTCTGTCAGAATTATTTTTTATTTAAAAATATGGAAAAAAATGAACTAATCTGTTCATTAAAATCAATTTTTATTGTTACTGTGGTTGATAAACTCGGATTTATTTTTTATATGGGGAAAAAATGATTAACTGAAAACGTACATTTTAGTTGTATTTTTTAAATAACGTTTTTGGCTCAGTGGAACGGGGATTAGACTTTAGAAACTCATTGAATACCTTAAATGTAATCGGATCCCCACACGACTGTAAAATTTCAAACAATCTCATACTGTGAATTAAAACAATATGAGAGTTATTCAAATTTATTTTATTATCCTACTGTATTCGTTCTAATTAAAAATTTATTGGCAAGAATATAAAACTTAAACCGCCTAGAGCATAAATAAACTCGGTTGAAAAAAACAACACTACATGAATATCGATTTTAAGGGCGATGTAGTTACAGACGTCCTAAAGAGGAGAATTTATGATTCTCTAAAAACGTTCTCCACAACAACGTCGCGAATACTGTTCTTCAGCCGATCAATGATCTTAACGATATATTATCTCATATGACTAACTCTATGTCCGTTTGTCAACTTACTTGTTCCTATAAAGCCGGGTATACAGGTCGCTTATGATAATTCTTGTGAATTGAACGCTATATTCGTTTCCTAAGCTATTCTGGAAACCCGAAAAATGGAACTACACAGCGACCTGAACACCAGAGAGAAGACGCAAAGTATGAGAGAAATGCTTTACTACAAGGTTCATTTTTGTACATAAAACATGGGTATTTATAGATGTTAGCGTTTGTTAAATCAACATCATATTTCAGCCAATCCGTTAACGACATATTATGCTACTGACCAATAGTAGCACGCCACGTTGGAATTCTAGAATGCTCCATCATACCCTGATTGCCTAGGACTCTTCGGCTCTTCTTGGGCATCTGGAGGCTCCGTTGAAATCCTCCGAAAACCGACTCAACACCTCCCCCGAATAAGACTTCTACGTAGGATCTATTTGTCATTTGGCAACTGGGTTGCGGTGGCGTCCCATTATTCTTGTCGTCTTCCTTGTCTGAAGCTTCTTTTCAGTGTTTTTGGGTTTGTGTGGCATTGGTGTATCTAAGATTAACTCTGACGGAAAATTCGTCCGGTTCTTTCGAGTTTGCATCGTTCTTTTGTCCTTATGGATTTGATTTGCGTGTCGTATACACGTTCCAAAAGTTCTTCGGACTCTGTACAGAACTCTTCCCAATTTTTGTACAACTTCTCCCGGCTCCCATCGGTTCTTCCCGACGTAGGATTTAATGAAAACTTTGTCGCCAACATTAAAGTTCCGGATACATGGATTGTGACTGCGCTCATCCACTAATTTGGATGGTAACATGGCGCTGAAGACAGTTCGAATACGCCTTCCGAACATGGCTTCCGCAGGAGACTTGCCGTCTGGAACATTCGGGTTCGGGGTGGATCGGTAGGATGTTAAAATTTTTGTGATCACCTGCCCAGTCGTCCCTTTGCCTCCCCCTTTCAGTATTGCTCGTTTAAAGGTGTCCACAAAGCGTTCTGCTTGTCCGTTTGATTGTGGATGATACGGTGGAGAACGAAGATGAGTTATTCCGTTTGCTCTACAGAAATGCTTAAACGATCCTGCTGCGAATTGCGAGCCGTTATGCATTACTATTGTCTCTAATACTCCGAAACAGCTAAACAGGATAGACAACTTGTGGATTGTTTCTGTTGTTGTACAATTCGGCATGGTATATACTTCCGGCCATTTAGTAAATGCATCTACGATAATTAGAAACATTTTTCCTTGGATTGGACCAGCGAAATCTGCATGAAGTCTTACCCAGGGTCCTGCAGGCGTAGGCCAATAAGCATAACTACGAGCCAACGATTCCATTTTATTGATTCCAGGATGGCCACTGTGAAACTGCTTGAGAACCTTGTGACGTAACAACTTCGGAATAACAATTCGATCACCGAGCATAATACACGAGTCGACAACCATTAGTGAGTCCCGTCGACGAAAATATTGCGTCGTCTCTCTGGTGTTCAGGTCGCTGTGTAGTTCCAGTTTTCGGGTTTCCAGAATAGCTTAAGAAACGAATATAGCGTTTAATTCGCATGACTTATCAGTTTGATACGTACTTTATGCAAAAGAATTCAAGAAAATTACTCGGCTTGGCTAAAAATGAGATGGAGACGGTTCAGTAATTAACCACCTTGTGAAAAAAGGTTTTTCAAGCAACGCAGTCCCTGAGTTCAAATTCATCTACATAGTAAGTAGAAAACTGCCGAAAGCAGTAACATTGTATCTTCTTAGCACTGCAGAAGCAATTACTATACAACTGGTAAAAGCAAACTTATATATTTAAGAGAATTTGGTACAACCTCTTCTTTTACCATGGTCTTAACACCTCATAATTTTCTTTCTTCATGCTTTTCTTCCATCGCCACCATTTTCTCTTTCTATTTCTTCCATAGATGTTTTAGCCGAAACCGATTGTTTTCTGTTTCTGAGATCCTTCTGATTACAGTCCATCTCAATTCCAACATTTTATTTTATCACGCTAAGCCTTCTCTTCATAATTACAAATTCCGTCTATCAATTAAGGGGCGAATGTACTGTGCAGCAGTTCGTTCTGTTCTACTTTACGTTTGCGAAACGTGACCATGAAGAGTAGAAGATACTCGTAAGCTACTAGTATTTGATCACAGATGTCTCGGAAATATTACTCGTATATGCTGGGATCACCGGGTAAGTAATAATGAGGTTAGATGCAGGGTATTAGGGAATGATGGTAAATCAGTCGGTGAGGTTGTGAATCTTCATCGATTGAGATGGTTGGGCCACGTGTTACTTATGCCTGGACACCGTTTACCACGATGCGCAATACTGACTAGTTTTGGAGACGGCTGGAAGAAAGTTAGGGGTGGCCAAACCAAAAGGTGGCATCAGTCATTGAAGTAACTTACTTCTGGTCTGAGTAATGTTGGCAGATGCAGACTACTTGGTTGGGGTCTGCATGACTATCATAACCAATGGTTGGAGACTGAGTGACATGGCTCATAATCGATCACAGTGACGTCTGTGTGTATACTCTCTGTCTTCCCTTGAACCACGAGATTAAAATTACTGTATACCTTTTTTCTACGAACCGGTTCTTTGTTCCTGTATTATATCCTTAAACACAATCTTTTATATATTACTATCATTGAAGTAACTACTTCTATGAATTTGGTGTTGATGTTGTGCTAATGAGGTGTGGTAACGTGGTCAGATGCATATATGTACATGATCCTAGGTTATAGCTGACTGATATCTTCTGTGCCCTATCCAGGTTACCGAACGTTTGTATATGACGTGGTGGGTGTACCTATTTTGTCTCATTCTAATCACTCTATTAAATTTCATTAAACATTGTATGTCACAATAGTCTTCCCAAATCAGAATTTATATATAATTTCGATTTATCAACTCGCGCTGATTGTTTGAGAATGAACCAATCCTCATATTCAGATCTAATCTTGTCCAGAAAGCGGATTTGTCAGGATTTTATCGTATTAGCACCATTGTGATTGATATTGAACAGTTTAGTATTCTCCATCTATCCTCTTATTGTTGTTTCTCAAAATTTATTCACTGTCGGACCAATCGTAAACAATTAGACATAAACAATATAGTATTTGGCACTAACATATAGTAGTTCAAGTTGCTATACTATAATACATCATCAGGACAATCAGACAATATTTCAATAAAATCTACTGACCAATAATTGGTTATGTTTTTTGTTGTTGTTTTTAAACCTCTTAGTAAAGCTATAAATGTTTCACTTATCACAAAATTGTTTATTCTGATTTATGCAACAGTATAAAATAATTAATGCACACACACACTTTCCCTTTTATACCATTGAAAATCATTTTAAATTCTTTGTTTATGATTCATTGTAAAAACATTTCTTTCACTTATAAAATAGGAACGTCTATCATTTTACACTTGATTATATTATTTACACACAATTCATAAATTGTATTTCCAATATCTAATTTATTATACTAAATTATTAGTTAAATTAGTAAATAACACATTTTACTGGAAATGTTCATCTATGTATGTGATTGGTTGTTTGTTCGCTTACTTGCATTCTGTATTCCTTATGTGAAATCATTAACTGTACTTGATTTAATATTTGAATGTATACAATTTTTTTCACTATTTAATCTCTTCTAAATATGTAGAACAGATGGATGATGATTAGGCGTATAATTAAGGATGTGAGTTCCGTTCTATTCAGGGCTCGTCAGTTGGGTGTACCTGTTGATGTTCACTCTGGAACTCGGTATATATATATATATATATATATATATATATATATATATATATATATATATATATATATAATTTATATACTTATTCAATGCTTTGTAAAAAACATTTTTTCATTAGTTAATTTTCATTTTATTATCTAGTGTTTGCTTTTCTTATGTATTATTTCGATAATGCAATGAGAAGACGTAGTTTATCAGAATTATGTGATATATTTGCGCAATACATTTCGAACAATCTGATCACACATATACTTGTTAAGAACATTTATATATGAAAAATTAAAAGGTCAACTAGACAGGTTAAGGGTAAGTCATAACAAAGGAAAAATATTAAAGTACACAAAAACAAATGTGATTACCACTCTGGATAGTAAATCAGTACTACCAGGGTAGGTTAAGTGTAAGTACAAATCGTTTTTGAACTTCCTTTTCTTAACATCCTGATTACTAGGAGAGATGATGGCTCCATCAAACGTACTACATATAGAAAACCAACATGGACAGGACAATATCTCAATTTTCATAGTCACTGCCCTATTCATTATAAACGCGGTTTAATAAAGAGCTTATTCAATAGAATCAATCGTATTTGTACTAGTGATACTATTGAAGTAGAGATGAAGCTCTTGACTGATGCGTTAATTAATAATGGTTACCCTTTGAAGTTCATAAACCGCTGGAAGGGTTGCAATATGCCTAGACCTATGACACTTCTGGCACCCAAAAAGCGAGTTTATATTACGCTACCATTCAGAGGTGACACAAATAGTCTCATGTTGAAACAGAGACTTAAATTAGCTATCAACCGGACATTTTATGCAGTCCAACTTGTTATAATCGAAAAGACAAGGTCTATGTTTCACCAAAAGCCCAAACAGCATGAAAACGATTGTGTCACATCCCATTGTGTCTATAAATTTACATGTATGTGTGGAAACACGTACGTAGGGAGGAGCAATCGTGATTTTCAATTAAGGGTGGGTGAACATATACCAAAATGGTTGCAGAATCAGATGAATTCCAATGGTGAAATAAGATCACAGGATAGACAGACATCATCATCCATTGCGAAACATTTGATTGAAACGGGTCATAAGGTTGATATCAAATCAGCATTTGTTGTCTTGTACAAAAGCCTTCAAGGACGTATACTAAGGTTTATTGAAGCCTTGGCTATACGGAAATTGAAACCCCCTTTATGTGTTCAAAAACGATTTGTACTTACACTTAACCTACCCTGGTAGTACTGATTTACTATCCAGAGTGGTAATCACATTTGTTTTTGTGTACTTTAATATTTTTCCTTTGTTATGACTTACCCTTAACCTGTCTAGTTGACCTTTTAATTTTTCATATATAAATGTTCTTAACAAGTATATGTGTGATCAGATTGTTCGAAATGTATTGCGCAAATATATCACATAATTCTGATAAACTACGTCTTCTCATTGCATTATCGAAATTTATCAAAGGGACTAATTGTTTTAAATTATGTATTATTCTAGTCGTTACATATTTTTGTATCCTTCTACATTTAGTCACATTAATTATAAGAAAACTTCCTTTTTAATTGACTAGCAGATTACTTACATACATTGCTCTACTGGCTTATTTTTTATATCACTGTGTAAAGCTAATTTACCAGCTTATGTCAATAATTGTCCCTGTAACCTTATCCTGTATTGTCACGTGTACAAAATATATAATAATTCTTGTTAGTAATTTTACTATTCATTACTGCTTTTCGCATATTTTATTTTATCTTGATTGGTTTTTTGTCGTTATAATAGGCTAATTAGGAGGAAATTGGCATGTAATGAAGTAATGAATCGGTCAATAAAGTTGAAAAATCCATAAATGATCTAAAACTATGCAGACAAGTCCTGAATGATTAAATTACGAGAGCTTTAAGCATGTTGATCTCTAGTTTTAGCTGTCTGATTGACTGAGGTATTAGCCAGGATCTAGGAACTGAACGGAATCACATCTAACTACTCTCGATCTCTGATCGTACCAAGCTTTAAGAAGAGATAAAAACCTCTTTTAGTAATCAAAGTGAATCAGTTTGACTTATATAGTGTTTAAAATACTAGCTTCAATAATCATCCGAGACTTAACTAGGGCTCGTGAAGATCGAACTCGGGAAAACTAGGCTGATTTCACACCTGGATTCGAATGTGTAAACCAAATATTCACCTTTCGTCGGTTTCTGAAACACAGACATACCTACTCCCTCTCAATCATAGTTGTATTTCTCGACCTTAAGGCTGCATTCGATTCCGATGATAGTGCATACGAAAGAAGTACAGTAACCTTTCGTAAAGCCATTGTGAATTAAACCGAACCATGGTAATAGGTTTAGATCACCTGGTTTGAATCCCCTTGATTATTATAACCAGTAACTAGAGACTTTGGGTAATACGGCTCAGAATCGTTCTCATTGGCACAGGTCCATTCACTTTTCATCTCCTTTTAGACCCTGAGTCCTGAAATCTTATACCTTTTTTACTTGTACTGCGCCTAATCTTTTCTAATACTACTGATATTGTTGCTAATTTTGCCACTTTGTGATTTGTCTTGATAACTTTATCTCGCCGTGCTAATGTGATATGACAACTTGAAGCGATACAATTATATGCCCGGTTTTACGTCGGATATGACTGTCAATAACTTTGTACAGGCTCTATTCGAGGACTACTGGTGGGATTTGAATAGACTTTGTTTTCAGACGTATGTTTTCTTTCATATGTTTAAAATCATCTTTCATTAACTTCAACAAATAATTCTGTTTTCATTTTAACATTCTTACTCTTGTTTTCACATATTCGTTTCGCTCTAGACTGAGGAACTCTTCAAGAACATGTTAAACATACCAAATATTTAACAACTTATGTAATTCAAAATGATTTCGTCAAGTGGTGTTTAAAAATTATTAAGTGCTTTTTCTCCACTTAGTTTTTTCACAAGTTTATTTTTAATGGTAACATTTTCTTTATGACGGTTCAGGTGATGATATTTTGTCTTTACATTCTTCTATCTATATGTGAATTATGTTGATGAATTGATCCTATTCGATGAACATGCACCGATTTAGATCATTTGATATTTTACATACTTCATAAATGTAGATTTTCTCTGACTGTTTCGTTTAACATAACAACCACATAATGTGTATATTCATTGTTACTTTTTAGCTATTTTTTTTCTCCAAGCACTGATTCTTAAAGCAATAGCTTTTTTATGTCCGACACAAAATTATTGTGTACTATAAGATAAAAAATCGAAAAGATTTTCCCTCATACCTCTAACAGCACTCAAGACCTACTAACTATACAAATTTAATTTTAATCCAATATTTGGTCACTTTAGATATGGTTCCCATATTTGTCTTTTTTAAAACATTTGTTTGACCACATAAACACTGGTACAAATGGGCACCAAAATGTACAT